ACTGCCAATTTCTGGCTGGATCCGAGGCATCTAAGATCATTTCATCTACTACCTGTCAGTCTAAAAGCAATTTAACACAAGGTAAGAAAAGGAAAGGGGAGAGAAAAAGAAGGTAGAAGATAAAAAAAACAGAGGGGTTTTGTTTGTATATGGCCATAACGTATGGTGATATTGGCATTTTAATTTCAGAAATCTTTTTCGCCTTTGCTCCTTGATTCGGTCCTGCTCTCTTTTAATGAGTCTCCCATGTATCACGGAGGTGATTCATTAATAGGATTACAGGCGTGATGTGACATATGTGAATAATTTAGCATCAGCTCAAAAGAGGGTTTAGGAGAACCCCAGAAAATTCATGAAAGGAGTGTCAAGCAGGGTTCATTCTTTACTCGTGCCTCTTATGGCAGCTTTCTCTCTCTTTTTCACACTCTCGTTTTTGAGCAAATGTGACAGTTGCCATTTCATGCTTAAAGTTCAAAGAACTTTGCATTGAGCCTGACTTTCCCATCTCTCTCTCTCTCTCCCTTAAATATAACACTAGCCCTGGAGGATTGATACTCATATTCTAGGTGGGTGTAGTAGTTAGTTCTGGGTTGGATGAAGCCCTCCAGCATGAAGACTAAACTGTTTACAAAGCATTCTTTAATTGAATTAAATAACTGTGTACGTGTGTGTTTCTGTGTGTAGGTGTGTGTTGGTACGTGTGCATGTTTTTTGGGCCAGTAAATGACATGAATGTATTAAAAAAATTCACCTTAAGGTTATTTAATTTTGAAAGAAAATGCCACCCACATGCCTTCTGATTCCCAGCAGCCGCTGCTGCACCTTGCTGATTAGGAATCGCACAGGTGCCAGTCATATCATAAAAGCCTTCGTGACACAACCCACACGCAGATTATGACACACACAGTCCAGTCATACACAGATACTGAATGAAATATACTGTATATTTACAGACATGATGTGAATATTGTATCATCGGTTCAGAAGGTGGTTTGGTTATCACAAACCAAATATCCTGGAATCACAAACTGAATCATGGTTTATTTAATTCATCAACACTCTTATTTTATCAAAATATCTTAGCCAATATTGGGAGCCTTTTAGTCAAAAAGGTTAAGAAACGCTAAGAGAAACCCTAAATTATATATTATTATAGAATTATATAAATTGATAAAATCTTATATATTGTATATTAAAATGTACTCAAGCATTATTTCATTATTTTGCTTCCTTTTACTATTGAAAACAACAATCAGTTTTCCAGATCAAAACACAATTTTTCGTGTATTTGTTTTACCATGAACAAACATATAGTGATGATTCAGACAGCTGCTCTGAGCCTGCGGGGGATTGGCAAATCACCCCGGCGCTAATGGAACAGGATAGTTTCAAACCGATTGTTTTAGTGTACAAAAATGGTCACTCATATTCATGATTTTGTGGAGTAACCCAGGGAAGACCTGGCATAATGAAAATACTTTCCCTTTCCACTTCTCAACAGAATGTCCAAAAACTGCAGTGTACAATAGTGATGATAGTGTCTGCGCTCTTCACTTTGATGCTCTTTTGACGTTTAATGGAATCACTGGCACATATTCAGCTCTTACTCTTTTATTTTAGCTGTCAGATGGTTATGCAGTTGAAAGGGCATACAAGCTGCTCCACTCTATCTAGGCTAACCGGAAAGCTATTCATGACCACTGTGTCTGAAATTGCATACTGTATAGTAGCAGTGGTGTGCGGTGGTGTTTCAAAATAAGTCCTCACTTTTTTATATATATATCAAATGCAAATTTAGAGACCAAAAAGAGAGACCAAATACAAGTATATTTTGTATTTTTACACTATGTAATGTTCTATTTGTTAAAACCATGTATAAATTTAATCAAGTTAGTGTTTTTAGGCATTTTTACACTTATTCCAAAATAATAACGAAAGGCAGTAACAATATAGCCTATTTGTGAACTAATGTTCAGCTTTTCTTTTCAATAGTCAATTTATTTTCATCAGTCATCAAGCTTGTACACACTGCCTATAGTGAAAAAAAGTATACTTTATTGTATTTGAAATAGATTCCCCTTTTCAATAGTACATTGCAAATATACTAAAAAAAATGTACTATCTTTAAATATATTAAAAGTATATTAGCATCATGCTTTTACCTATTTTCACAATACAACTTTTAACACACTATAAAATAATTGTACTTTAGTATATTTTCTAAAAAGTATATTTTAGAAAAATATACTTGAAGTGAAAATTCAGTTTATTTTTTAAAAGTGTATTTATTTGCCCTTTATTAAAAAATATATTTTAGGTATATTTTAACTGTGCTGGAAATTATCATGGTCACAATGCATTGAAAGTATACTTTCAAAATACATTATAGTATACAATAGTATTTTGTACAAAGTAAGTTTTATTTGTCTAATAATGTACATTTGTTATTGAAGACAAAGTATGCAATTTGTAGTATTTGGAATAAGCCAAATGTATTAATGAGCCGATACTTTCCTGATCCTGTCCTCCTCTCTCTCTCCCACCTCACTTCCTGTCTAGCTACTGTCCTATCCTAATAAAAGGCGAAAACGCCAAAAATATATATTTTTTAAATAAATAAATAAAAACATTTATATAAATACACTTATGGTATATGCTTGTATGTTTTTCGAAGACACTCGTAATGAATTTGTAATGTACTTGTAACAAAAATAAAGTTCACTTTAACATCACTAATCAAGCATCTAATAGTCCCTACACAGGCATATACTTAAAGTATACTAAGTATACTTGAAGTTATTACGATTGCATACAATTATACTAAGTATACTTGAAGTTGGTTCAATTTAGTACACAAAAGTACACTAAATACACTTAAAGTTATGCTTTACTACAATTTAATTACAACTAAAATATACTTGGTACAAAATTAGTTGTTTCAAAATAGTTTCAAGTTAACTAATCATTGACACACTGTTATCGCACGAACCAATCATATCCAATCATTGGCATTGCCTCCTCTCACGTGCCTTTCCCTCATTCATTCTCAATTATCCCCTTATCATTGTTTTATTTTTGTAATTTCGCTTATTTCCTCAAGCAGTTTTTTTGAGACACTGCCTCGGAGGAAACGCCCCAGTATGATAGGTACTGCATTTGGTTTAAGTATGTTCTAGTATGAATGTATGTTGCATGAATGAAATTTGGACATACTACATTAGCCATGTTGTCATTGTCATACCGCTTCAATTGCGTCGCTTCGCCATTCACAAATCCTCTCCTGTGGCCTCATGGTATAAAATGCCTATCAGATGGGCACTTCAAAATCTCTGCGAAAGTAGTAGATCAGTCGGCTACTTTTCACCTTCTGTTTTTTGAATACTATGTATTCGGACATACTACTCTGTTGTTGTACTGTTTTTGGCATACTAGATTCCATATATAATTCGATTTAGGCAGCAGCGAATTTGTTCCCTCAAGAGTTTTCTATGGGTTTGTAGAATAACATTTTTATTAAGTCATGTTTATACCATGATTTTATGGAAATGCTAATTTCTGTATTTTACGGCTCTATAGTCCTATAGATACCCTATAGTCCTATAGCCTCTATAGATATCATTTTGCCTCATTCTGCAACCTACTGAGTCACCTTGTGTTTTACATAGTTCATAGTAGCCTACATGTGCAGTGTGGATTAATGTAACTTTATGTGCTGTCATGGCCACCTGTTACAGAGCCAAATTATGACCATTCTGGTCAAGTGGTGGACTTGATAAATACCGAGGCTGGTAGAAAAGCATTTGAAGAGTTCAGATGCAAAAGCCTCTAAGTGCCATTTGAAATTTTCTTCTAGAATGATAATTTTTATCAAGCTTGTATATTTAAGTCCAGTAATTTCACTCAAATGGCAATGAAGATTACCTATTAATTGTCATTTAAGTGAAATTACTGAACTTAAATATACAAGCTTGATAAAAATTATCATTCTAGAAGAAAATTTCAAATGGCACTTAGAGGCTTTTGCATCTGACCTCTTCATTTGTAACTCAGTGTTCTTCAGAACATCTAGCTCTAGCGCTCAAGCTGATTCAAAATATCTTTGATGTATTGGAATGAGGGCAGATAAACACTGCACATATAAACAAACATCCACTCAGAAACATGAAACAGAGATGACTCATTAAATATCTGCAAACAAGTTTATGACCGTCATCATAACAACAACAACACTGCTGTCAATTCAGACACTGGAAATAGAATCAGAAAGGTGCTGAGATCCGAACCTCAGGAGACGCACGAATGGTCCCGAGATCGCTCTCTGTGTTGCCATGGAACCCTGAATGCTGAACCAAAAACTTACCGGTGATCTTAAAAGCATGTTTTCAATGAACTTCAAATCTGACATAGGTAAGTGTTGGGTTTGAGTACTGCCACTATCTGAACAATAGGTGCAACATCAAAATGTCTCAGAAATAGTTTTTGATAGGTCCAAATGACAAGGTGCAAAAGTGCATACTAAGTTCCCTTTTGAAAAGAACAGCTTTGACTTTCCATGCTGGTCCAGGATGGTTTATGCTGGTTACCATTTTAGTGCTGGTCTAGCTCAACATGTTGTTTACCACTAGAAACGTTCTTTCTGATCTGGATAGTATTCTTTATTTGAGGAGGTTTCTATGGAAGCCTATTTCCACCTCAGAGTCAAGTGTGACACTGAAGACTGGAGTAATGATGCTGAAAATTTAGCATTGCCATCACAGGAATAAATTACATATTAAAATATATTATCTAAAATAGAAAAAAGTTATTTTGAACTGTAATATTTTACAATATTGCTGTTTTTATTGTATTTTTGATCAAATAAATGCAGCCTTTGTGACCATAAGACCATTTCAAAAATATTTAAAAATCTTACCAACACCATACTTTTGGAAAGTATACAGTGTATCTCACATGTTTATATTTTACAGTTTGACTTTATTTCTTATTTTAAACATAATTAATTGTTTTACTCTGAAGTGGAAACAAGCACTTGAACAGGAAACAGAAATAGGATTCTTTTAGTTCTTTTCCATGACATTGAATGCAAATGTATGGTAAAATGATAAACCAGCAGCACACACGTCAGCTCATATGAATGAGGCTACAACATCTCAATCATTTGACGCAGTACAAAACTTTAGTCACATCACAAATTTTATCCACACTTGTTTTCAAAAACCTGACATTGTAAACAAAACACAGCTGATCTCCCATGAATTTAGACTTTGCCTTCTGGAATATAAAGTGCTACATAAAAATGAAAAGTCTTGACATCAAACAGTAACTCTGACTTAACACTTATATACAAGTTTTATTTATCCCATTGATTAAACTGACACTGATGGTACTAAGGACCGATCCCAGTCAGACGAAGGTCTTTTGATGCATCACTGCCCTGTGATCAAGTCATGGACTGTGATGCTGTTTGTTCATAGATGCATTTGGGCTTTGAATACTAATACTTTAGATCAATCTGAGCTGATTTCTGTAGAGGTAAGAAGGATAGAATGCCAAACACGAACCCAGAAGACAATCCAGGGTTATGGTTGGCATTTGTGAGTTCATTGAGTGAATTCACAAGCAGCTGACGCTCTCATTTTTGCGGCTTTTGGACAGATGGTGGTTTTTATTGGGAAGGTGCAGAGAGAAATCCCCATTGCCTATTGATCCAGTAAGCGGCAGGTGTGTGGACTGATAGGCCAGCGGTGGAATGGTGTTGACCAGAATTTGCTGTAGTGGTTTCTTCTCTTCGTGAAACTGGCATCGGATGTATCTAGCAAAGGCTGAGCGGTAAGTCTTGTTGAAGAGCGTGTAAACCAGCGGGTTAACGGCGGAGGAAAGGTAACCGACCCACACAAACACATTCAACAGTCCGTTCATTATATCGGCGTCACACGCCACCGGCTCGCAAACCACCGCCAAAACGTTGGTTATGAAAAAGGGACACCACATGACCACGAACAGGAAGAAGACCACGCCCAGAACTTTGGAGGCTTTCTGCTCGTTGCTGATGGACTGTACGCTGTGCCGTCCGAAAGGTGGCATCACAACCCCCGACTCTGTCCCCACCTCGCGACTCAACGAACGCCGCAAGAACAGTTTCTTCTCTGAGGGCGAGAACGATGGGCTAGGGAGGAAGTTCAGAGTGAATCCTGCGCTCCATTTGGGCCTGGGCACCAGTTGGTCAAGGCAGAGCGTAGCCTCACTCTGCAGAGCGCTGATAGTCAGGAAGTAGGTCACCACCATAATGGTCAATGGCACAAAGAAGGCCACAAAGGACCCAATCAACACAAACGAATTGTCAGTCAATAGGCAGCTGCCATCCTTGAAAACTTTAGTGTGATCGCGGAGACCCAGCACTGGGATCGGCATGGAGATGCCTGCAGAAAGACAGAGGGAAGAAAGTGCATTTGTTTCGCAGTTTAGTTTAGTCTCCAGAAATTGTGACAGACCAAAAAAACAAGGTGGCAAAAAAATAAACAAAAGAGGAGCAATGATGACAGTTGCCTATTTCACACAAAACACAAAAGCAGTAAAGTTGTGTGACCTGCAGTTGCATATCATTTGCAGCTGTTTTATTTATGTCCCTTTCACAGTCCATTTGTCCAAGCAAGCATAAATAAATAATAGTTAATATACTGTAGTGCTATAAAAATAGCACTTTCATAGAAAACAAATTAACATGCAGTTCATTATTCCCTTTAATGGCATTAAATGCAATTTGCAATTCTGACATTATAACTGTTCTGTGATTATTATTTTGTATCAGTAAATCATGGTAAAATAATTTATGTATAATTTACAATCAAAATGGGGTTCGTTGTGATTAATAATAATAAATCAATATTACAATTTAATAAACAATAAAAAAAATTGTTTTCACAACATATGGTAATTGTGTAGATATAAATGTAGTCTATATAATAGTGTTTTTTAATAAAAGCATATAATCATAATATAATAATAATAACAACAATAAAAATAATAATATTATTTATTAACAGCCCATATCTATAAAAAATTAATAGATATGAATAAATATATAATAAAAATAATTGTGTATATTATATATATATATATATATATATATATATATTTTTTTTTTTTTTTTTTTTTTTTTTTTACATATGCTACCAAAGAGTGTGGTGGACATAATTTTAAAGATAACCAGACTCACAATATGCTGTTCACTTGGACTGGAAAGAGTTCATATAAAGGAATATCACTTAAACACCTGACTAACACATATACATCCAAGAAATGTTTTAGTCCATGAACCATCTCTTATCTCAAAGGAAAAACCGACTCGCACACACAGCAGAGATTCTGTCTGATCCCCTATTATCCCATCCTGTTTCAAAAGAGATGGTAATCTTTAAATAGCTCTTGGCTAATAATCAAGTGTAAACACTTTACTTTAATTGTTTCAAGCACTAATACATAATTTAGTTACAAATCATTAAACGGCTTTAAACTGAGAGCGCAGGTGGCGTATATTTATTAAAAACATGTTGTGCGGCTCAATGTGAACCCTGTGATTGATGGATCTCTTGTTGAAGGACATGCTCATATTATTCTACTTACTTAGATATATTGCTAATGCTTAGGCAGCGAAAATGTCCATCTTGTTACATGCCTTCGGGTTACTTTACAGTAATTGATGGGACTTTTTTCTCTCATTGCCTCTAACAGTTTAGGAGTGTAACCTCAACAACACAACTATGACCATTAGTGTTCAGTTCTGTATAACGCTGTTTATAATATACTTCTCATTTCCGCTAGCATCTTGCAAATGGAAAGCTTCTATCGCACAAGGACAAACTTTCAGTGAAACTGCCATGGTGACAAACCATCTCCATGGCAACAGTAAATCTCTGCAAATCGTGATCTCTGGGGTTTGTTGGGGGAAACAGAGCTGGTAAGGAGGGCGGGGGGTGCCATGATGGACCCGGTGCCACTGGATGCATCTGGAATTGGCTGTGAATCTATGGATAACCGCGGGCCTTGGATGACTATGATAAGAGTGTCAAAATCTGAGAGGAATATGAGGAGATTAAAAATAATACATCTGTACGGTTTCTCCTTTAAAAGTGAGTGGGGTTACTTTATCTTACACACTATCAACCTCCTCTGACATCCCATTTCTCATCCTTTCCTGGAGATGAGAGTACACAGAGTTGGAAAAAGTTAGAAAAGCAGCATTATAATGTAAATGGGGATTATGGTGCTTTGCTCAAATCCACTGACAGCACTCATCCTCATCTCAGTTATAGATGCTATGTGATGACATTTCAAGGCAAGACTACATGTGAATTTTAACTAGATATCACCATACTTCCGGTTTATTTTGGATGTCTCTTTTTATCACACTATAAATCAGAAAGCAAAAAAAAAAAAAAAAAAAAAAGGTCTGAAAGAATACATGCTATGGAAGCAAAATAGCTTACAGTCTCAAAATTGACCAGTGCTTGATAAAACATTGGTTTTGTTTGTAATGTCTTGCCTTAAAGCAGATTAAGAGCTTTTTAACATGGAGATGAAGGGGGATAGTTCATCTGTTATGTTTGCATTACAAATACTGGATGGATACTTTTATGCAAGAAAAATTACACCCATAAAATGTTCCAGTACAGAAGACAGATAATTACGCATCTCAGTGGCATGCGCCTCTTCCAGTGATAATTACAAAAGCACTTTTTTGTCTTACCAACCAGACATGCTGTTCTTTGAAAAGCATCTGACTCATGCTCAAAGAGCCCTAATCTCTGAAATGTTAGTAGGTCTTCTTTGATCCCCAAACGATACATAATTACTAATCACTTTAAAGCAACACTGGCTCTCAGCTCTATGCCCAGTCTGAATCTCGCAGAGGCTTGAGACTGGAGTTCGGGGAACTGAAGCTCTATCCAAAAGTGTACCGGCACAGTTTAACTGCTTTATTAGTGAAGATATTTTTTAAAATAGTTATATGGACTGTAGTTATATTGCTTTGCATTATAAATGTGTTTCATTACACTGTTTTGTTTTTCTTTTTGCATTACTGTGGTGCAAATTGTGGGATACACTTTATTACATTTTCTGCTCATAATAATTCATTTCTGTCTGCGCTGCATGCAGATCGAAAAACAGGGCTGGTTTGAGGTCGTTTTGAAAAAGATCAGTGCTTGGGTATTTCTTCAATTTCGGGCACTGCAGAGGGTGATTTTTATTAAAACTAATCGATTTCTTTTTCTTTTGTTATATGAAGGTCATACTAAAACTGTCTTTCCATGCCTTCATTATCTTTTGCTACTTTTTTTTGTCCCAGACAGGGACATCACAGTCTCTAAATAAATAAATGAAACAATATCATATAATTTTTAAACAAATTTCTATATCACTTATCAATTATTTAATAATATTGTTTTATCAAAGGTTAGTGTACTTATTTACCAAGGCAACAACACTTTTAGTGGAGAGTATGTGAGATTAAATACGTAACATGACATGGAATAAAAATTCAAAGGGAAATCAAAGAAACATTAAGATAAATGTCACTCGTGAACAATATATTTATTGAGAATAATTTCCAAGCAAGCTTGAAAAGTATGTGTGAACATGTATTTGTGTGTATTTACTATCTGTAAAATGATGGCTCCATCTGGCTAAGGCTAATACCATATCTATTTTCTTCTGCAAATGTTTAAACTCTCATTTCCATCACTGTCATTTCCACCAGAGAATGATTTGAGATGTGGTGGAAATGACACTGTGCATGGGGGAATTATTCATGTCTTCAGCATTCAATAACCCAGACATGTAAAATTCATTCATTTTTATCTTTCTATTATGCTATTTTTTCCTCATCTCAATAATTTTTCTCCATTGACATAATCAGCAGGATACTAATGAAGGTGCAGTTCCAATCTATATTATAGATGATTATTGCTGCAATTTTACTTCTGATTTACAGATATCCAACTTGTGTTCAAAAAGCTCTCTCTCCCACTCATGTAAATATCATGGTAAACATAACTTGATACATTGACGTTTTGTCCTACAACGCACACTGCACACACTCACAACCCAAGCTGTCTTATCTAGTTATTTAATTTATTAAAAACTTTACGTTGTAATTTACGTTGTAGAAATAACATTCAAACAACAGTCAAGTTATGTTTACCACAGGCTTTATTTTACACATGAATCGAAAAACCCCATTATAAAACCTCATAGAAAAATCTCGAAGGAACCAATTAAGCTCGCCAGTATGGGAGTTTTTTGGATTTAGAGAAAATGAGTCGTTAAACACCCCAGTCTGCAGGACTTGTCGATCAACAGCGAGTGCAAAAGGGGGCAATACTAGAAACCTGTTCACCCACCTCTGCGTCAAATAATCCTTAGTCCAAAAAATGTGCTCATTCGGATTAAAACATGGATTATAGTATGTTAACTTCAAATATCTATAGAGAAATATTTTTGTTGTATTTTTACTAGTGCTGTCAAATCGATTAATCGCATCTACCATAAAAGTTTTTGTTTATATATAAGTGTTTATATATTATTATAGATATTGTGTGTGTGTGTGTGTGTACACACCCATATATGTATCCATACACAGTATATATACAGTAGATACAGGTTTCTATCGTGATATACTGTATACCGTGAATTCTTTTGGCCACGATAACTGTGCTGTGAAAATTCTGACATCATGACAGCCCTAGTACACATAAACATTTAAACCCTCTTTGGATCACTCTTCTTTTTAGTAGCGTCTCTAAACAGCTAATGTCATCTCACACCAATAAGGAAATTATTCTAGGATTTCACAAATTCTAAATGCAGAGTCAGAGGTTAATACCATGTTATCATGAATATACATTAGATCAGAGTCATGACTCATCAGACAGAATGACATCCTGTTCATAACAGCTTCATGGCTTCATGGCTTCACATCACACTACAGCACAGTGTCATGCCCACATGTTGTACCTGCAGAGATGGTCCAGACCGCCGTGATTTTGGCCCGGGCCCGGGAGCGTGAGTTTGATCGATTGTGTCGGATGGGGTTCCGGATGGCCACATAACGGTCCAGGGAGATAGCGCACAGGTGCATGATGGAGGCGGTGGAAAAAAGAACATCCAAGTAGATCCACATGGGACAGAGTGATGCAGGGAGGGGCCAGGAGTAACCTGAAGAGGAGAAACACATTCAGAAAATCAAACCGAAGGAATAAAACTGACAACAAAAGGCTTAAAACATTGACTTTCCTCTGTTGCATACTAATGAGTCCTGTGAGTTCATTTAATGGGCTTTGTCCACTAAGCTCAAGTGAGTGATTTCATTGGAAAGCATGAGTCTGATGAGCTCATGCAAACAGCACACGACTATACTCTAGAAATTAATTTCAACAAGATTGTAGTCTGTCTGTCTGTCTATCAGCTTGTTTGTCTGCCCATCCATCCATCCATCCATCCATCCTGAAAAGCAAGTTCAGACAGTTTTGTAAGTGCAAGAGTTAACTCACTCCGCTGGGGGCAGTCAGGCAGAAAATGACCATCCACCAGACTGACACTGTAAAGTTCATTGTTAACACTCCTGGCACTTTATACAGGACACACACAGACACAAACCATGAAGGGGAGAAATTTTGAATTAATAATACCTTTACCGCAATTTGCAGTTATTGTCGGATACTTTCTTTTTTCGTTTTGTTTTTTTGTCAGTGACAAAAGTTTGAAATGAAGCACGACGGCAAATCCAAAAGAGCCAACACAAATGAAGTGCCACAAAGAAAATAGACTTTCGAGGGAAGAGGAAATGAGGTAGAAAAATATAAAGAAAGAAATGAGTGAAAGGATAACAGGAGGAGGAGCTGCCGGAAATGAAGGGAAGAATGTGGGTGAATGAATATACAGAGCTTGTGTGCAGAAATAGATAAAGACCATCAATCACCAAAACAAAGAGCACAGAATCACACACTTGAGTTTCAGAAACAGCATTCTTCATCAGAACTCACTCAGGTTTGTTATTGGATTGTTACCTCAGCAGAGCCACAGTATTATATTAGTTTCCCTGTGTGTGTTGTGTTTACTGTGTTCTTTCAGAGTGATTGAAAACCTGTGGTTTCTATACAGTTCAAGACAGCGCTCAAAAAACAGATTCTGTGAATTTCTCTGCAGAAGAAAAATCAGCTAAAATTCAGTCTGCAGTGGGATAAACGTATGCGGCAGCATGGGAGATAAATTGTGAGTAAATAACATTATTTTAGTTTTGTAAAGCTCCCACGCTCTCCTGCCTTCACTATCTATTGAGGTACAAAAAGAAGTCTGGGTGACACACTAGCTAAAGATAGATGTCTTTTACTATGAACATGAGATGCAGACTGCCATCACGACTCAAACATAAACTTAGGCAATATTACCCATGCGACTGTACACAGACTGAAACTACTGCCATTCTCTGTGAGTATGATACATATTTTACATCATAATTTCAACATAATCTGATGACCTGATATTAAACTCTTTGTAGTAAAAGTATATGCAATTATCATTATTTTATTCATTTTTATTTAATATTAAAATTTTAATAATTCATTTGAAACTAAATTAATGCAAGTTTTGATTAAAACCGCACAAATAAGACTTTTAAAACTGTATTTAGACAATATTAAATTGAATTTATGTCCCAAATTTCAGTAATTATTACATCAAACCACAGAAAATAAAGTCTTCTGAGCTTGTTGATCAACATTTTTAGAAGGTTAAGCCCCTTCTAAAACTGTATATTGAAAAGAAAAAAAGAGTTTCAGGCCTTATTTTATACCCCATTGCATGGAAAGTGATTAAAGCATGGGCTGAAAGAGAGAGAGGATCAGGGCTTATGATATGAAGAGATGAAGGTCTTTTAAGAAAATATTAAGATGGGGGGCACTGTTTGATGTAGCGTATGCATCATGGCATAAATAAAAATCAAAGTCTTGATGAAAGTTGCACAAAAAGTAAAATAAAGAACTAAACGAATAAAAGTTCAATCACTGCTAGGCATAAGAGGTGCTTATGAATAGAGATGAAGAACGTCATCCCTTTCTCCGCGAGGCTTCTGCCAGCTGTGGCTTTATTCAATAAAGCTAAAAAAACAAGAGATGCCGCATCAAAACCAGAGGCTAATTAATAATACATTAATACAAAATGGCTGGATGTGTGTGTGCTGTCTATGAGATGCATGCATTGGGGTTTGTGCTTGTGACTGAAAGGGAAACAGAAACGATGAAGGGCAAAGACTCTATTTAAAACCCTTCAGACAGTTTGTCTAATTGGAGTTGCTCATCGGCACAGGCTCAGTGGACGCCCTATTTGCTGAAGGGTAATACTCAGCGTTTAATACAGAGACCCAAAAACACCTGACAAATTCCCTCAAATCCTTAAATTGTTTGTGCCTCTGGTCTAGATGAAAGCCAAACGTTATCTAGCCATGCAGGAGAATAGTCTGATTTTGCTGAAGGGCACCTTAGAAAGCAGTGAGTGTGTATGAGTGTATGTGTACCTACTTAACCAAATTTGTACCCAGAAATGAGCTAAATCTGACTAAACCTCCTTTCTGGAATGTTGTCATTTGTAAAAACTTTATAAAATACAGTATATTAAAGAAATAGTTCACCCGCCACAAATGAGAATTATGTCATCATTTACCCTCATGTTGTTCCAAACCTGTATGACTTACTTTCTTCTCTTTAACACAAAAGAAGATATTTTGAAGAACGTTGGTAACTAAACTGTTTTGGTACTTATTGTATGAACAAAAAATACAATGGAAATCACTAGGAACTGAAACTATTTGCTTATCAACATTCTTCAAAATATCTTCTTTTCAGCAGAAGAAAGAAATGCATATAGGTAAGTAAATATATTTTTTTTAATTGTAAATAGCAGGACGTTTTCTGTTATGGTTAGGTTTAGGTTATTTATAACAAACTATATACAAATAGCACACTGAATTTAACCATACAGTCTCTCTGACGACATCAACTATGAATACACACACACAGACAAACAGCACCACCGCCTTAAAAGCTTTGCCTTTTGACCACAAGCCCAATATTTCAGCAAGCTGAATGACAAGTCTTTGGAAAAACTAGACTCTAGAGTGCCAGGACAATTTGAAATGCATTTCATGTGAGCACTGATTTGAGCCGGATGCCTGGGAAATGACCACTGAGGGCATGATTATATGCGTCACTGTGTCACCATGTTGAAATGTTTTTTTTTTTTTTTAAGTCTATGACATTTGCCTGAGGCAAGAAGGAAACTCGCTGTAATGTCACGAGGAGTGTGTCTGCGTGTGCGTTTGTGTCGGTAGATGGATAATTACAATACCGCTGGCTCACCCCGTTTTCTCTGACCCTTCCTGAACTCATCCTCTGCCTCGTTAAACAGCCCTGAATCTATCAGACTAATTAATCTCGCCCTCCTTGCCCACACACCTCTCTCTCACTGCCTCTTTACCTCTTGTTTGTCATGAAACAGAAAAATTTGTATTCTTCCATAATCAATCATCATCATTCTAAACCTGTATGACTGGATGCATGTTTTGAAGAATGTTGATGCCTTTTTTCCCCAAAAAATCATGCAGTGACCACTCCAAAAACTCCAAAGTTTGTGCTTGCACATATTCAAACTTGCTGTGTCGTAATGTGATACAAGAACACAATACATGATGACTCTGCCCTTACTAAAATTTGGGTAGGACTTCTAGCTTGGCAGACAGCTAACAGGTTCTTCAATAAACACCCAGGAAGCAGTAGGACGTTTAGAATGCTTTATCAGAAGCACTGTGAAACTGCAATACAGAAATACAAAATGTACTTATTAATAAACTTGAATAGGTTAAATTCTTATTAACACAGGATTAATACCACTTTGAAAAACACAAAATACAGTAACATAAATTTACCCATTAACCACACATGGTTATATAACGATTAGCATGAATGCTAACTTAACATGGAAAACGCCATAGACAGGCTAACGCGATTAGCATCTTTACCATTTTCAACACTTTTCACACCAATATGTAATTCAAACGATCTTCACTTAAGGTTGTCATAAAAATACACTTTAACCATCACTTACAGACATAAGTTCTTCAGAGTTATGAAGACAAAACGCAGGGTTCTCAAGTTTTATCAAAAGCTTGGAGTGAGATCACATGCGGTTAGGGGAGGGGCCTAAATGGAGCCCCGCCCCCGCCTAGCCCCGCCCCCAATTTTACCCATTGTTCATAATTAACCAGCAAAAATTGAAATTATCAGAATCAGAATCAGAATCAGAAAGAGCTTTATTGCCAAGTGTGCTTGCACACACAAGGAATTTGTTTTGGTACTGAGGCTTCCAGTGGACATATACAAATACAAATACAACAAGAAACATAATACTACAAATTCTAAGAATAAAAAATATAAATATAAATATATGAGAATAAAAGTATCACAGTTGTCACAAGTATCACATATATTACAGTGTTTTGAATATTATGAATAAATAAATCTACATATAAGTATCACCTGAGTTGTAGGATATTGCACTAAACAGTGGGAGTATTGCACTTAAAGCATATGCCTTGGGAGGTGTGTTAACTGTTCAGGAGGGATATGGCCTGTGGGAAGAAACTGTTCCTGTGCCGAGATGTTCTAGTGGCCAGTGATCTGAGTCGCCGTCTTGACGGTAACAGTTCAAATAGGTGGTGTCCAGGGTGAGTGGAGTCTGTGATGATTTTACCTGCTCTCTTCCTCACTCTGGAAGAGTACAGGTCCTGGAGGTTTGGCAGGGGGGCACCAATAATCCTCTCCGCAGTCCGGACTGTCCGTTGTAGTCTCCTGATGTCTGATTTGGTAGCTGAACCAAACCAGACAGTGATGGAAGTGCATAAGACAGACTCAATGACGGCTGAGTAGAACTGAATCAGCAGCTCCTGTGGCAAGTTGAACTTCCTCAGCTGGCGAAGGAAGTACAGTCTCTGCTGGGCCTTTTTCACAATGGAGTCAATGTGATTGTCCCACTTCAGGTCCTGAGAGATGATAGTGCCCAGGAACCTGAATGACTCCACTGCTTCCACAGTGCTGTTCATGATGGTGAGTGGGGGGAGTGCTGGGCTGTTCCTCCTGAAGTCCACAATTGGTGAAGTATAACAA